CGCATCGAATGATTGTCGAGGCATATGGTGATCATGCTCTATCAGAAGCAACATGCAAAAGATGGTATCAACGGTTCAGAAATAATGATTTTGATGTGAGAAATGAAGAACGTGAAAGACCGCCAAAAAAGTTTGAAGACGCCGAATTGCAAACGATATTGGATGGAGATGACACTTTGGGTCAAAAGCAAATGGCAGAAATGTTAAATGTTGCACAACAAACAATTTCTGACCGTTTAAAAGTTATGGGAAAGATCCAAAAGTGTGGAAAATGGGTGCCACATGAATTGAATGAAAGACAGATGGAAAACTAAAAAAAAACACTTGTGAAATTTTGCTTCAAAGACACGAAAGAATATCGGTTTTGCATCGGATTGTTACTGGCGATGAAAAATGGATTTATTTTAAGAATCCTAAACGGAAAAAATCATGGGTTAATCCGGGACAACCATCAACATCGACTGCAAAAACCGAAGATGCGATTCGGCAAGAAAGACAATGCTGTGTGGTTTTACCACGAGCTCCTAAAACCTGGTGAATACCATCAATGCTGGTCGCTATGAACAACAAACTGATAAATTTGAACCATGCATTGATCGAGAAACGACCAGAATGGGCCAGAAGACACGGCAAAGGTAATTCTGGTCCAATGACAAGCACCTGCACACAAAGCAAAAACGGGTTCAGGATGCCAATCAAGAAACACTTGGCTGGAGCTGCTACCCCACCCGCCCGTATTCACCAGACTTGGCTCCCTTTCCGACTACCATTTCGTTTTCATCCGATGGGACACGCATTGGCTGATCAGCACTTTGATTCCTACGAGGAGGTCGAAAATTGGGTGTCTGGTTGGTTTGCTTCAAAAGACAAACAATTTTTTTGGCGTGGTATCCACAAATTGCCAGAAAGGTGGTCAAAATGAGTAGAAAGCAATGGCCAATACTTTGAATAAAATGTTTTTTACTTTCCTATTAATAATTAGTGTTTTATTTTCACCAAAAAACGCTCATTTCATACCGGTACACCTAATATGTCGATTTCTCTTGAAATAAAGGTATTTTATTTCAATCTAAATTTTCTAGAAGATATATATGAATACGTTTTATTTTATACATAAGACCTTCGTGCCAAACCTTATCAAAAGCTTGGGCTACGTCCAAAAAAACGGCGGAACAGTATTCTTTGTGTTGAAAGGCAGTATGTATTTCTTTAGCAATTCTGTGAACTTGCTCAATAGTGCCATGTCCTGTTCGAAATCCAAATTGATGGTTTGGGATCCCATTGTTTTGAATTATTATTGGCATAATATATGACAGGAGCATTTCCTCAAAAATTTTGGATAACTGGGGCAAAAGACTAATTGGTCTATATGATGATGCGAAAGTTAGGTCCTTTCCTGCTTTTGGAATCATTTTTATTTCTGAAACTTTCCATTGCTTCGGGTAGTAGCCAAAAGCGAGGATGCTGTTAAATATCACCGTTAGAAAAGTTATTGCTGAATCAGGCAATTGTTGTATCATTTTACTCGTAATTTTGTCGTATCCAAGGAATAATTTCCTTTAAGTTATCCAAACACAACGTAAGGGGAGTTTCAACAATAGAAGGAGATTCGATGTTAGGTTAGAAATCTGATAATTGTGGGTTTAGCTGAAAAACGCCATTTAGGTGTTCTGCTAAAATACAACATTTTTCTTCGTCATTGCGAGTCCAAGAACCATCCGGTTTTCTAAGCGGTGGGTCATTTTCTATTGGCGTTTTAAATTTCTTCGTTGCTTTCCACAGAGAATAGTTGTTTTCTTTAAGAGCGGTTTTTGTCATCAGATAGGGCTTTTTTAAGATCTTTTGAAGCTTTATTTAATCTTTGTTTTGAGGTGGGTGATCGAAATCTTTGCCATTCTCGCCTGGCTCGAGAAATAAGATAATCAATGTGTGATTGAAATACTATATTTGACTGGACTAATCTTTTTGGTTGAGAGGCTTTAATTACAGCATTATTTAATGTCTTGGTAAAGTGATCAACTGCTTTATCAATTTCCTTGGGTGAACTTAAATTTGAATTATAACTTATTTCCTCATTAATAATATTTCTATAAATCCTCCAGTTTATTAGAGTTTTCTTATTCTGCTCATTTGAATTAGTATTAAATTTTGTCAGAGTTAAAATAACCGGAGAATGGTCAGAGGACAAGTCATAAGATGATTTAACAGCAATATCTTCACGTTTCATAAAATTAATGACTGCGAATTCGATTAAGTCTGGTGTTTTTCGATTGTCTGATGGCCAGTATGTTGGGTGGCCTGAGGACACAACATCAAGGCTGTTGCCAAGATATCAGTCTAGAACCCCAAAAGGTGTGTTTAGCATTAAAATCCCCAGCAACTAGAAAGTTAGGACCGAGATCAGTAAAAAATTTCCGGAATTGATCAGAAGTAATAGCAAATTTGGGTGGACAATAGATTCTGAGACGACGGTTTTAGTTAGACCAGAAATTACACAAATTGATGTAGACTGTAGGTATTTAAAACAATGCTTTTGGATTTCATAATGTTGAATTGTGTTTCTAACAAGTACTCCAGAACCGCCACATGCTTTACAATCTGGATGTTTAGTGTCATAAAACTTATATTCATAAACTCGAAAACAGTTTTTGAAGGTTAAATGTGTGTCGGATATAAACAGTATATCGATATTGTTACTTACCAGAAATCTAGTTACTTTCAATAAATGTTGGCTTAAGCCGTTTGCATTCCAATGGCATATTGTGATTGCATTCATTTGGGTTTTACCACCTCAGCAATCAAACTTTGGTTTTGTATCATGCTTTGCATCAAGCTATTTATCATATTTTGCATGAAGTCCATGAAGTGTTCATTTTTTTGGGTAAAACTTGCGAGCATTGCTTCAAAGCCTGAAACGACAGTGGAGCTATTGATAAGAAGTGGGATTTGTTTGGTGGCATTTGCGTACGTCATTTGCTGGATTGGTGGAGCCGGTGGTTGCAATGCGGGACCAGTATTCTATGGAAGGGGAGGGAAATGAGATGTTGGGAAATTTGACAGATTAAGCTGTGGGGTACGCTGTCTTTGGGCAACGTTTAATTTTTGTCTTAGGGCAGCGAAAACTGGACATCCTCTGTAATTTGCTGTGTGGCTATCACCGCAGTTTGAGCATTTTCTAACTGCTGGGTTTTCTTTGCTTTCAGGACATTTATCTGAGCTATGGATTATGGCACAAATGACACAAACCATGGCAAGTTTACAGAATGACTTAGTGTGTCCATATTCCTGACAGTTGAAGCACTGTACTGGAGAATTACGTTTATGTAGCTCCTCTATAATAATTTTTCTGTTTAAAAGAAAGCGAAGCAAATAAATAGGATGGACTCCGCCACTTTTCAACTTGTTTCTGTCCGGATACAGCTCAACTTTGTACATTGGTTGGGGTTTTCGGTCTCTATTTAAGATATTAAATACTCTTTTTGCTTCGAAGTTTTTTTCTTTAAGCGCATCATGAATTTCTTTTATATCAACTCCTGCTTCTATGCCCTTTATGTTTCGATTTTATCTCTAATTCAGCAATTACTTTTCGAAAATGATCTTCACTTGAAACTTGTACCTTTGTTTCATTAATCATGCCCTTTTTAATAGGTACAACAAAGAAATTTTTTTTACCTATTAAATTTGAAAGTAAATTAACTAAATCACTAGAGAGTTATTTTCTCTTACATAGATAGGCGGTGGTTTAACAATTTTTTCTTTGATTTCTTCTATGTTTTCACTTTCATCACTCAGTACTTTAAATCTGTTGTTATAATTATTGTTGTTAACTTTTTCAATTTTGTCACGATTGTTTGCGTTTTTTTTGTGGGCTAAATTTTCGCTTAACTATTTCAGTATATCGTTCAATTCCTGTTTGTACTTTGATTGGTTTATTTGGAAGTCCGACATTTTTCCCGGAATTAGGAGTTCTACATTGAACACTCCAGGGTTGAAGTGATAGAGATGGTACAGAAGTCAATGAATTTGGACATAATTTCGATTTTTGTTCCTGTTGCTGCTGACTTTGTAAAGTTTGCTTTTGTGTTTTATGTTGCTGCTCTTGCTGTTGCTGTCTTTTTGATTTATATATAATAGCATTGACAGACGGGAGCTAAATTATCATTAAGGGACTAAATTATAATTTATTTGCTCATTTAGCAGTTTTGAATGATCATTTATGGTCTTTAAATGACCGAATTTAACCCAATTTATTCGTCATTTAGGTTTTTAGAAATGGTAATGCTGCATATGCAAGTGAAACGAAATAAAAAATGAAACAAATTTCAAGCTATTTGGTTGTCAAAATGTAAACAAAACATATTTGGAAACATTTGTAAATGTAAATACTCGATATATTTTTATATATTTTATATTTTTTTTATATATTTTATATTTAATTAAAGCAAGTTTCTTTAATTTTTCTTGCTTATCCATTTTGAATATAAAATTCTTTCTTTTGCTTTTTCAATAACAAAAAACATATGATACAGCAATTTCTTAATGATAATTTATACCATCTGTCAGGGTATTTTTAAAATGATCATTTAAGGCTGCTTAATGATAATTTAGTGCGCTCGTCTGTCAATGCTATAAGTATTTATTAATTTTATTTATTTAGCATAAGTTAACAAGTTAACTACACAATTTACACAATTACACGATATTGTGAGATGCAATTTGTACAGATTTTTTTTCTACTTCCAACACTTTTCTTGTTTTTTATTTTAAGCTTTAGAGCTTAATTTGCTGTCTCTATCGGCTGTATAAATTCTAAAACAACAATTTATATAAACACAACACGTCTTTATAAAATTAAAATCAAAAATTACCCAAAAAAATTCTATTAAAATCAAAATCAAAATAAAAATGGAATCATTCAAAAGTAAGTAAATTTTGGCTATTTTAATTTATTATTTATAATTGTATTTTAATAATTTTGTATTAAAAACAATTATATTTTCAGATGTGCCAGAACAAGAAATGATCGACCGCCAAGACCGAGTAGAAGGTTAGTAAAAATTTATTTAAAAGTGTAGTGAATATGTGAATATTAAGTGAATATGTTACTCCTCCCATCCCTTGAAATTACAGTGTCCTCACTGTTTACAATATGTTTTTTTTAATGTACGTAAATAAATTATAAATATAATTATAATGAAACTAAGAGTTATAGTCATATAAGTTATTGACAAGTTAAGTTTAAAATTAGAATTTACTTTTTCTACATGTTCTTTTAATTCTGTTAAAGTAATATTTTCAAAATTTATTTCATTATTTTTAGTAAAATACAACATATTGATTGGTTGATGTGTTTTCTTAATTTCAATACTAAAATTATTTATTTGAACTTTGCAATTATTGAAAGTAATGATATAATTTTTTTTAATTTTAATTTCTAAAGTATTACAATTTTGATTAATATATGATGTATTTATATTTTTTGTGATAATAATATTTGGAGGAAAATATTGAATTAATGGCTCACTAAATTTGCTATATTTACATTCAGTTTTTACATCATTTAATATATTTTTAATACATTCGTCTTTTACAATTTCAAGTTTTTTATTTTTTACTTTATGCAATACATTTTTAAGGAGCACATATTCTTCGTTTGGATTTACAATTAATTCAATTTTATCTTTATTTGGCATTGGATATATTTTTATTTTAGGAATTACAATAATTTCTTGTGGTATGGATAAAACAAAATATAAAATATCATTATCTTTCCAAACTGATGATTTTATTTCTTCAAATTGATCAGACGTTAATTTACTTATTAGATTCAAATTTAACAATTTTGGATTAATTATTCCTACTTTAGTTAATTGTAATGCAAGCTGTATATCTTGAACATGATCAATATAACATTTTACGTTATTTAAAAAGGTATCAATTGCGATTTTTTTGTAAGTTGATTTTGTAATGCATTGTAATACATTCTAAGTTCTTTTATCAATTTATTTTCTTCATTAATATGTTTTATTATTGGATTCAAGTCTTTTACATTAATTTGATTTTCTTTAATATTTTTTAAAGTATCAAAAATTTCTTCTTTATCATTTTCATCTAATGTTCCGAATAAAAATTTTAATCCGCTGCCTACCAAATTAACGAGTCCTTTCTTGTGTCTACTGTGAAACATTTCTTTTTCTAATCTGGCTTCATTCATGTAATTAGTAATTAAATTTGTTTGTAAGTATTCATTTCTCTTGTATTCGAGTTCTAACTGAAAATATGCTTCAAGTAATTCAGTTTTATTAATGGATAAAACCTCAAATGTAAAGTTTGTTGGTAAATAAAATTGTCCTTGTTCTGTTAGGATATACCCGTTTTCACTGTTAACTTCTGTAATTTGAATAGATTGGCTATACGACTTATGAATTATAGTAAACATGATGAATATTGTTAAAAACATTGAGTAGAAGTATTTATTGAAGTAGTTTTTCTTGTTATCCGTTGGCGGGTTTCTGAAATTATTAATGTTATTAGAATTTTTCCCCTTTTTTTTTTATTTTTTTCTTTTAAATTGATTCTTGTATTTTCTAACTTTTTTATTTTTAAATTTGACTAAATAATGTTCATTATCGTCATCTGTCTGAACTACTGTAATTTTGGCTTTTGGTAAATTTTGGCTATTTTAATTTATTATTTATAATTGTATTTTAATAATTTTGTATTAAAAACAATTATATTTTCAGATGTGCCAGAACAAGAAATTATCGACCGACAAGACCGAGTAGAAGGTTAGTAAAAATTTATTTAAAAGTGTAGTGAATATGTGAATATTAAGTGAATATGTTACTCCTCCCATCCCTTGAAATTACAGTGTCCTCACTGTTTACAATATGTTTTTTTTAATGTACGTAAATAAATTATAAATATAATTATAATGAAACTAAGAGTTATAGTCATATAAGTTATTGACAAGTTAAGTTTAAAATTAGAATTTACTTTTTCTACATGTTCTTTTAATTCTGTTAAAGTAATATTTTCAAAATTTATTTCATTATTTTTAGTAAAATACAACATATTGATTGGTTGATGTGTTTTCTTAATTTCAATACTAAAATTATTTATTTGAACTTTGCAATTATTGAAAGTAATGATATAATTTTTTTTAATTTTAATTTCTAAAGTATTACAATTTTGATTAATATATGATGTATTTATATTTTTTGTGATAATAATATTTGGAGGAAAATATTGAATTAATGGCTCACTAAATTTGCTATATTTACATTCAGTTTTTACATCATTTAATATATTTTTAATACATTCGTCTTTTACAATTTCAAGTTTTTTATTTTTTACTTTATGCAATACATTTTTAAGGAGCACATATTCTTCGTTTGGATTTACAATTAATTCAATTTTATCTTTATTTGGCATTGGATATATTTTTATTTTAGGAATTACAATAATTTCTTGTGGTATGGATAAAACAAAATATAAAATATCATTATCTTTCCAAACTGATGATTTTATTTCTTCAAATTGATCAGACGTTAATTTACTTATTAGATTCAAATTTAACAATTTTGGATTAATTATTCCTACTTTAGTTAATTGTAATGCAAGCTGTATATCTTGAACATGATCAATATAACATTTTACGTTATTTAAAAAGGTATCAATTGCGATTTTTTTGTAAGTTGATTTTGTAATGCATTGTAATACATTCTAAGTTCTTTTATCAATTTATTTTCTTCATTAATATGTTTTATTATTGGATTCAAGTCTTTTACATTAATTTGATTTTCTTTAATATTTTTTAAAGTATCAAAAATTTCTTCTTTATCATTTTCATCTAATGTTCCGAATAAAAATTTTAATCCGCTGCCTACCAAATTAACGAGTCCTTTCTTGTGTCTACTGTGAAACATTTCTTTTTCTAATCTGGCTTCATTCATGTAATTAGTAATTAAATTTGTTTGTAAGTATTCATTTCTCTTGTATTCGAGTTCTAACTGAAAATATGCTTCAAGTAATTCAGTTTTATTAATGGATAAAACCTCAAATGTAAAGTTTGTTGGTAAATAAAATTGTCCTTGTTCTGTTAGGATATACCCGTTTTCACTGTTAACTTCTGTAATTTGAATAGATTGGCTATACGACTTATGAATTATAGTAAACATGATGAATATTGTTAAAAACATTGAGTAGAAGTATTTATTGAAGTAGTTTTTCTTGTTATCCGTTGGCGGGTTTCTGAAATTATTAATGTTATTAGAATTTTTCCCCTTTTTTTTTATTTTTTTCTTTTAAATTGATTCTTGTATTTTCTAACTTTTTTATTTTTAAATTTGACTAAATAATGTTCATTATCGTCATCTGTCTGAACTACTGTAATTTTGGCTTTTGGTAAATTTTGGCTATTTTAATTTATTATTTATAATTGTATTTTAATAATTTTGTATTAAAAACAATTATATTTTCAGATGTGCCAGAACAAGAAATGATCGACCGACAAGACCGAGTAGAAGGTTAGTAAAAATTTATTTAAAAGTG